TGCCCTCCCCTACATGATACTGCTTACTGATAGACATCTTTCGTGATGCCCGTATTGACCTCATCTAGTTGGCTGCCATCGAACAATTTCTCTGAAACTCGCTGCTCTCTAACTCCTCCTCCATCTCCTACTCTAGCTCCTCCTCTTTCTCTTCAATTTGGTGAGTGGGTTAGGGTTAGTCTACGTTCTTACATTAAAACCTCGAAGCACTTAACACTATATCCTCAAGTGTTCGTCTTCAAGATTTTTGGAAGTTGTATGTACTTTTATTCTTTAAACTTTAACTCTTAAAAACGTGACAGTTGTTGTTACTCGCCACCCTCAAATTTAAACCTTTAACCTTAAACCTTTAACTCTAAAAAACTTGGGATTTCCACATGTATAAAAAAATTGTTGTCCACTCTAACTTTCGAGAAAGCCCAAGGTAAGGGTAGAGGGAATATGCAGTTGGGGAAAGGCTGTGACATTTCATATCCCAGTGGTAGGGGTAGCAGTCGGTCGGTTTCGGTTTAACCAAAAATGAAACCCGGTTATCGGTTAAACTGAGCCACCCCCAAGAGCTGCCGACCACCGACCGTGAGAGTGGTCACGGTTAGTCGGCCAACCGACCGGTCAGTTTCAGTTTTAGGCTCGGTTAGCCGACCAACCGGAAAACTACCTTTTCTACAAAAAAAAAAAAAAAAATTAAAAGCAACAAAAATTCTGCACCACTCACTCCTAATCCCTCTCACTTCTCGATTCTTCTTCTTCCTTTCCAGAGAAGCCTAACCTATCTCTCTCCCTACTCTCTCTCTCGATTCTCTTCTTCCTCTGGAAGGAAAATCGAAAAACCCTTGCTGCCACCCGCCAAGCTGAAATCGCCTCCTCCCTCACCTCTCTCGTTCTGCCTCTCCCTCAATTGCCGACATCCTCTCTCTCCTCTCTCTCTCTCTCTCTCTCTCTCTCTCTCTCTCTCTCTCTCTATTTCTCCTCCAATATGAAAGAAGAAAGCAAACCAACAAACCAAGAACAAATCGTTCCCTCTCTCTACTCTTTCTCACTCTCCCTCGTCTTACCCAGAAAATGAGCCGAAGCAAAGCTTCTCCGACGCTCTCATCTTTCATAGACGAAACCGGGCTATGGGACGCCGGCGATGGCCTCCGCCGCGGTGAGGATGTGGAGCAGGTGCAGGTGGCGGGTTTGGCGGAGGACTTGGCGGCGGAATAGGTAAGGGAGGTGGGCTTGGGGGCGGTGCCGGCGGTGGGAAGGGCGGAGGACTTGGCGGCGGAGCAAGTGGCGGCTTTGGCAAGGGCTTGTTGGCTATGGCGGTGGTGAGACGTGAGAGTGTAGATCTGCTTCTTCTTCTTTTTCCTGGATTTGGGAATTTTTTTTTATTCAAGATGTGGGAATGGAGATGAATCTAGACAGGATTTTGGGGAAGGTTAAGTGGGTCTCGGTTGGCCCGGTTAGTCGGATAACCGCGGTTAATCACCGTCGGTTACTCGGTCAACCGAACCCTTCCTTTTCCCATCCGACCACCGACCGTCAAGGTAACCGGTCAGTTTTCGGTTAGCTGGTAACAGGTGGTTTTTGGTTAAAACCGGCGGTTACCCGCTAACCACAAACCGAAATGCCAGCCCTACCCGGTGGAGGGTGTGACATTTCTCTCTATTATATTGGTTTCCAGAGTGAAGAGGAGAGGACAAGATAGTAGAGGGGAGGGAATGAGGCGGTAGAAACTAGAAAGCATAGGGAATCTATATGACTAGATGGGAACAGATCAAGTAAGTAACCTTATGGTGAGTAACCATGAGTAATGCGTCCACATCAGCATCTCTCTCTCCTGGAAAACTTTTAATTTTCCCCTCCTTAATCTTTGACGGACGATTTCTCACTCAATTTAAGTCAAAATTTAATTTTTTTGCACAGTTAGATCGGATTAATTGTGCTCTTCAAAATTATATTCACTTTGATATATTTTTCGAACAAAATAAATTGAGCCATTTTTTACCAGTCTAAACCATATGGTATTGACTGGTATTGAAATAAGAGCATACCTATGGTTTGAAAATCGTACCATGGTGGTATGAACAAACCAAGACTGTAGGATGATTGAATACATGATAGTAGAAGTATATTAACTGTCATTTACGACTTTTAACATTGTGTACCACAAGATACCACCCCGTACCAGGGTGGTATTGTATGATATTGTGGGGTATTTTTTGTCCTGTAATTTATTCACCTAGAAATGTGTAGATCCAATAGATCATGATGAACTCGTTCCTTCTGTGCAAATGTTTTCAAAAATGAATAAAAAATGAAGAAAATACCATATGGTATGCAATTGGTACCGAGAGGCAAGAATTTTTTTTTCTAAAAAACTATTGAAAACAGATCTCATTTTGTAGAGCACAACGAACTCGTCAATTTGTGCAAAAAAAAAATTAAAATCCGAGTTAAAACGAAGAAGATATGAGCCGATTAAGAAAGTTAGGGAAAATAAAAATGACATTTAATTCTCCATTCTTAGATTTGGATTTTCTAAATAAAGGGTCAAGATTTAGTTATTAATGGGTATCTTTAGCCTACTAGATGAAATATAATTGGGTAAGGGGAAAGTTTGTTGGGGAATGAGATAGATTAAAAAAAGGAAGCCCTCTTTAAATTCATTGTCCCTACTTACCCCAAATAATTTGCGTACTTGGAAAATTTCAAATCAAAAGATTTTGGGGATTCAAAATAGAAATTCTCTCCCAAAAACGAAATTTTGCACACAAAAAAAATCATTTTATGTCTGTTAACCTACTCAGTAATTTTGTTACAAACAATCATTTTTTTACTGATAGGTGCTCACCATCATTAGTTTTAATTTTTTATGACGGTGAATTCATCTTTGTCAGAATACTCAATATTACTAACGCAAAAAAGATAGCAGTCACAAATAATGAATGTTCGGAATCTGAATGACTAAACGTCACCCTAAATTTACTTTTATCATCCTAACTTAAAAATGAAAATTATACAATCGTCCCCAAAACAAAAAAAAAATAAATAAATAAATAAATCACAAATAAAAAAAATTTCGATCCGCCGTCGATGTTCATCTTGCATCCACCCAATCCTGCAAGTCGCCCTCTACTGTCATGCAGTCGTTATTCTCCAATTTCTCTCCACCATCACTATACAAATATAGATATAGCGGTTATGTTTGGGATCGCCTGTGAAGGGAAACAACTAAGCGGCGCATATCCATTCTTAAAATTCAATGAGAGAGATCCAAGCGCAACATAACAAGCATGTTCTCGGCAATGGCGGTATCAGCCTTTCAATGCTCTTGCCCTTGCGTCGAGGATTGGAAGATAAAACAACAATGACAGAGTGGACTAACAATAAGAATTAGTAAATTGCCGAGTGGTATCTCGATGGGTCGCAGACTCGCAGCGACTATGGGAACTTGTGCGCTACGGGGATTGGTGACCGATGTGGTTAAGACGATCGGAGGTGGATATTTGTGGTGGCGGCCGGTAGTGGTGACGGAGGCGGTTTGTGGCAGCGATGGAGAATATATATGTCTATTGTTAGAATAAAATGTCTCCTAGAAAAAAAAAGAGAAGGGTAAAAATATAATTTTAACTTGTAAATTAGGGCGATTATATAAAAGCTAGGGCAACAATTAGCAACCCCGTTCGGAATTGCATCCTCTAAAAAATGGCCATTACCGACGAGATTTTAATTTGGTCCGTAAAAAAATAAATATTACTGACAACACATGTTTTCCGTCAGAAAAAAGTGACATTTTGTGACGAGAATTTAGTATCATCAATAAGTTCTCGTCAGGACTCTCTATCTTTTTTTTGTAGAGCACTAACTACAAAAATCAATCTTTTTATAACCGCACCCTACTCACTTGTGTGGTTTGATGAGGTTTGCGGATTATCTGCAAATTGCAAACAAAACTTCCACCATACTTGGAGGGCCGCCGGTATGAATTGGAGGCTATCCTTGCCGGCACTGGAAGGGTATGGATAATAAGAGTGACAATAGGTTTTCTAATATTATTATTACTATTTAATTATTTTTAATTAATGTAAAAATAATTCAAATCACCTGCCACATTTAGTGGTCAACTCGTTGACCATTGACCATGTTAATAATGTTAAATGTTAATGGTGATGAAAGTCCGTGTGAGAATTGTCATATTGAATACTTTAGTATACAAATGACACTTTTTATAATTTGGGTGTTTTAGTGAAATTTGCATAGTAATTTAAGCGATAATTTACATAAAGAAAACTACAAACAATGACTAAGGTGACATGTCGGCCAGTACAACCGGGTTTAACCAGTACCAGTGACAAAACTAACTAGCATGTCATAGGTATAACTGGCATGAGCAATTTCGGACTTCTAAAAATATAACGTTGTTTTGGTGAATTTAATTAAGAAAATAATAAGCTAATAAGCATTACTAGATTTTATCCTAATGAGTTTAGTCACCTTTTCAACTCATTTCTTATACAACTCTTTGAGATTATTATCATAGTGTCAAGAATGATGAGATATTCCTTGGAATAAAATAAATGCATGAATTGTTATGACTTGTACTAACCATAAATTTTCTAATTTAAAGATTTATTTAATATTTTAATTTGATTTTAAAAGAGGACACGCACAAATAAAATTGTTGGTTTCATCATTGGTCATTCGTATATAACATATTTATTATCTGGTATATGTAAGAATGATAACTTTTATTATGGAAAAAAAAAACAATCACTTTTTCTTATATTTGTACATTCAAAATATGTATAATCTTAGATTCGTTTTAAATATTTACCATTATTATCAACCGGTGTTAGAGGATAGTATTATGCTTCAAAAATGACAATAGACTACCACCTACATGCACCTTATTACATTTTTAATTTATTGTCTCGTTTTTTCCCCATTAGTATATGTTTCCACCGGTCCTCCTTCCTTGTTTATAGAACTCAATTGCCTTACTTATCTTCCATCCCCATCCCAATTCCATGTATCCATAACCTTCTCATAATTCGTTACACGCTCTCGTTATGTACCGGCTTCTTATAAGTAGCAAAAGGCCGAACGACGACAGAAACAAATCAACCAAACTATTGATATAATATCGAGCAAATTAAATAATTAGTAGAGCTCTCACTTTTTATTATTCAAGTGATTCGTAAACATAAATATGGCGAGATATTCCTCCTTCTTGTGCTTCCTTCTGGCAGTTTTGCTCTTCACCTCCCTCGGTAAAAATCCTTGTTTCATGCTACCTATCTTTTTTTTTTTCCATGAATGTCGCGCATAGCTCGTATTTTCTAGACAGATTAACGAATAAATAACTCGTATTTTCTTTAAGGCTTCGGGAATTGAATTCGCACTATGTTTGATTAATGTTCTACCAGTACCATTACGCCTAATAAACTTACACATTTCGATTAATTAATTTTCCTGTTTTTGTTGTGGCAAAATATACATGTACGCCTACAAAAAAAAAGGTGGGAAATCGGCGGTGGAAGCAGAACAATGCGTATCGGTATATGATTGCAATGGCGGAAACGATGCTTGCAACAAGAAATGCCAAGCTATTTTCCATGGGGTCGGAACTTGCAACGACCCCAATACTCCCAACTTCTGTTCTTGCAAATATGACTGCCCAAAGCTAGAGACTAATTGAAGAAAGAACAGTGTCGCTATAAATAAGCTGGATCGAGTCAAAAACTTTTTATAGTATATGTACGTTGTCCACACTTAATTTTTAATCGGAGCACTAATCCATCTTGGGAGTCATGATTAATCTTTCCTTTCGTTGAAAGTAATAATTAATTATAAGACACTGTTTTATATTATTTCAAATAAATCCCCATCTTTATTTATTATTTTTTTTTTTTTTTTACCATAGAAGAATTTGACTGGCTTGTTGAATGGGTATGTAAGTGTAAGCATATTCACGATTATATTATGATGCACATGGAACACGAAAAAAATAAATGCTTGTAGTAAATGGCCATCGTCAATTGTTAAATTTGCATGAAGTCATACGATTATGATGCACTCAGAACACAAGAAAAATAAAATATTGAGATGAAAAATGACTCACATCCACCAATTTGGGTGGGCGGTGGTGGATAGGTTCGACGGAGGGTCAATTATTTGTCAAGTAATAAGATATTTATAGGTCGTAAAAGCTTACGATGAGTTAATTATTGTTTACGCCTAAAATTAATTTGGATTAATTAAATGCCGTATTAATTAGTCTCGGCATTTAATTCGGTACCGCGGGTTAAAAACGATGTCGTTTGGAGTTAAGCGGCGTCGCGGAGAGTTAAAACGGTACCGCAAGGAAGCTCGGCGGTACCGCGGCATGGGAAACGACACCGCTTAATATTAAAAAAAGGGGCTGCGCGTGTAGTTGGGTTGGAGAAGGGAGTTTTATAATTAATTATTACCTTTATTCCTTGTAGGAAGGGGAAAATCGGTACCGCATGGAGAATTAAAACGGTACCGCAAGGAAGCTCAGCGGTACCGCGGCACCGGTCACCAAAAAACAAAAGAGGGGCCGCGCGTTAGTTGAGTGTTGGGGAATGAGTTTTGTTTACTCTAATTAATTATTATTATTTTTTACTCCTTGTTGGATAGGGAGAAGCGGCACCGCAGAGAGCTAAAACGGTGCCGCGGAATTAAAAACGGTACCGCAATAAGCCCAACGGTACCGTGGATTAGCAAACGACAGTGTTTAAAATAACAAACAATGTCGCAAAAAGGAAAAAACAATCGGAGCTATGGTGGCGCTAGCGATGTCGTTGGCCATAGCTAGTGATGGCCGGATTAATTAATTAATGTTTTAATGACTTTTTAGCACGGTGGCGTTTAGTTGAAAGCGATGCCGTAAGAGGAAGAAACGACACCGCGGGACAAGGAAACGGTGTTGTTTAACTAAAAACGACATCGCGGTAGTGGTAAGAGTTCGGCCGAAGGCAGCCCGCCAAGCCTAACGGCGTCGCAAGAGTATAGAACGACGTTGTTTGATGGACTAACAATGTCGATTGGTTAAACCGGGTCAGGGCAGTTGAGTTGGATCATAAAACGGCATCGGTTGGTGAAAGGCGATGCCGTGGTATTGGTGAAACGTCATCGTTACATGGACAAGGTGGTGAGTCGTTTCGCCAAGTTTCTGCAAAGCAAGAGCGGTTTCGAGGGCACGTGATTATCACGCAACAAGGAGGAAGTTACCTGCACGGTTGACAGGAATGAAGAAGTGGGAGACAAAGGCGCCAAGGAAGTTACAACGAAGGGGAGAAGCGCGAAGTATAAAGATTGAGAAGAGAGAGAGAGACTGGGGACGACAAAATCAAATCACAAACTGCACCTACGCAGATTTATCTTTTTCTCTCTAGTTCGTAGAACTTCTCTGTCAAAGACCTCCTTTGCAGAGTCGTAGTAGTCGTAGTCGTAGTTGCGGAGCTCTCCAGAGGAACCTCCATAGGAGTAGAGGTAACGTAACTTAGAACACTCCCGGTTTGGTTTCTCATTTCTCGTTGAACACCCTCGTTCGAACGTAGTTTGGAGAGGTGGTGAACTGAGTAACGGTTGTTTGATTAGAAGTCAAAGGTATATTGATCGAATCAACATCGCCGACACCGGCGGTGGATATTTGACAGTCATCTTGGTTTCTGTTTAATCGATCAAATCAACGGTGCCGACATTCGGTGGCGGATATTTTACGATTTTTGCTGACTTTGGGTTTTTGTTTCCTTGAAATCAGAGCGCATTGAACGCGTGAGTTTCGCCAACGAAACAAATTGGCACACCTGGTGGGACCCGTGTGTTCGGATGGCTCCGCGAAGGAAGAATCACGAGGGAGATCTTCCACCAACTTCAGTGGAGGAAGAGCCAATGGTCAATGTAGAGACTGACCAGATTGGCGGTTCACACGGCGGTTCGAGCAATGACGCCGGAGGGGAAGTGCCAGCAGTGGCGCAAACTGCCAACCAGGGTGAGATAACACGCATGCTTCGCCAAGTCATGGCTGATAACCAACATGTAAAACTTCACTTAGCCTCTTTGGATGGACGTCTTGATGGTCTTAGTTCTCGGATTGATAGACTCGTTAGCCAACTGGTTGAAGTCGTAGATAAAAACAGAATGGATTTTGAAAGTAACAGACGTGATTTTAATGATTTTAGAGAGTTTTTGAATAGGCCAGTGCCGCAAACAAGGGCTTTGCCGTTAAGCGGCGAGAATCCGTTACACAACGACACTGGCACCAATAGCTTTCCGGTCAATGGCGGCCGAGATACTCAGCCGAGACAGGGCGTTTCGCCGACACCGGTGGTGAACCCAACAAGTCTGTCGAGAGTAAAACCTGGCGAGACCAGCACTGCGGCTAACACTCGTGTTGAGCCGCCACCAGTGCACAATGTGGGTCCACAAAATATTCCGGAGGCCAGACCCTACGTGGCTCCGATGAGCGGTGCTGGTGGTGGAGGAACGATCAACAATGATCATGTTCCGCCACGCGGCTACCCACAAAACATGCCTCCTCCTCCAAACGGGCTTGGCATGGATCCGGGTGGATTCGTGCCACAAGGAGGGAAACTCGGGGGGCAAGACATTAATGTGATTCGAGATCAAGTAGCACAGATGCTGGCGGATCAGTTTGGTTTAGGGATTAGATCAGCGATGCCGCCGGTGTATCGAAAACCATATCCGGATTGGGTTGATAGATACTACCACTTTCCACGTGGTTTTCGCGTGCCTGATTTCATCACCTTTAGCGGGACTGGGGATCAGTCCACCGTCGAGCATGTTGGACGATTCACGGTTCAGTGTGGTGATGTGAGTGATTTCTTGAAGTTACGTTTGTTTGGCAACTCGTTGACCGGCCCTGCATTCGCGTGGTACGTCAACTTGCCATCGAACTCGGTTCAAACTTGGCAGCAAATGGAACAAATGTTCCATGCCCAGTTCTACCGTTCTGAGCCAGAAGTAACAATGGCAGACTTGGCACGAATGCGCCAACAGCCAGGAGAAACGGTGGAACATTTCTTAACTAATTTTAAAAATGCAAGAAATCGCTGTTTTGTGAACTTGACAGAACGCGAGTTTGTTAAACTTGCCCAGGGTGGATTGAATTTTGAACTTCGTAAAAAGTTTCAAGATAGGGAGTTCTCCGATCTGTTTCAATTGATGTCCTGCGCTGTTAGATATGAATCTCTTCTTCATGAAGAAGAACATAGGAGAAGTGGTTCCGTGGACAATATTTCCCTAATTTTGAAAACTATGGTGTGAATAACGTCGGCAGCGATGTTGATGAGGTTGAAGTTGATTTGGCCGAGATTGTGCAGGGGAAGCCATATGTGTGTGCTTCTCTGGCCAAGGCCGATGGGGAACCACAAGGTGGAAAGCCCAATCGTGCTCCAATTCAAACTAGGAAATATTCCTTTGATGTTTCGAAATCAGAGTTGATTTTCGACCAGCTTTACAAAGATGGTCAAATTAAGTTAACTGGGGGGCATACTATCCCGCCAGCCGAAAAATTAAAAGGAAAGCGCTACTGTAAGTGGCATAACAATGTGTCTCACTCAACTAATATGTGTGTAGTGTTTCGAAACGTGGTGCAGGATGCTATTGAAAAAGGTCGGTTCAAGGTACCGGAGCCGAGGAAGGAGGCCATGATTGTTGACACTGACCCGTTTCCCAACGGTGTGGGCGTCAATATGGTCAACATTGGGGGGGGGGGGGGCAACATTGTCGAAGCTCTTTTGTACCACAAGGACCTTGGTTCTCAAAAAATTAGGAGTATGGAAGGTGGACCATGCAACGTCGCAGTTTCAAGCACAAAGGTGTTGGGTAAGGCGTGCTTGAACTCGTTGTCCGAGATTGTGAGACCATCAATGCTTGCATTAGGTAGTCCACCAAAATCTGAGTAAGCCACCTCAAGAGAGGGTGACGAAGGCCGAAATTACGGCCTTGTCGGAGGGGTTGCTGATCAACGGTGATGATGCGATTAACGAGGTGGGAAAGGAAGCAGTGTTGCCGACATTGTAGAAGAAATCTACCTTGGTGCGAAGGAGGATCAACGTTCAACTTTCATAGTGCCATCTTGCATGAATTTTACAGGTACGAGTTAACTATGCTTCTGATTGGCTTCAAAGATTGTGTTACGTGCGAATTTCATGAAATATTGCATGTGCATGTTGCAGTCTTGCTAGCTAGACCGTTTATTGATTTTTATGTTAGATTGTCCAATAAGTGAAGGATTGAGCTATATAGACACTAACGGCGTTGCAACAACAACATCACCGCCGTTGGAGTCAAGTTGTGGCTTGTTATGTTATATGGTTTGAGTTTTTGGTCAAAGTTGTTTAATATGGTTGGCCAGTGTTTACGATGTTGACGAGATAGCCAAAACATCGACATAGAGTAAAAAGCTTTACCATGTAATTTTCGTTGACAATGGTCGCATAAGACGAAAGAAGGACCGGCCAATTATGCCTGTTTTTACCTGAGCTAGCAAGCGAAGTTGTTTGTGGCATGGCTGTTGTATTCTCTTTTAGCAACAACTTTGTTGTGGCTTGGAGGAAAGAAAAGAGCATATTCTTGGGCAAAAAAAAAATAACAATAATAATAATAATAATGAAAAAAAGAACGAAGGGAGAGACGGTGCGGCCAAAGTCCAAACAGCCCTGCTATATTAAAAAAAAAAAAAGAAGAAGGCTCTTATCTCAGCGCTGCCGCTGACAGGCCAGAGAAAAAAAAACAAACGAATGCGGCGCTGGTGGGAAATAAAAAAAAATAAAAATAATTTTTGCATGCAGCGTTGCCGCTGATGCAA